AAATAAACTGTCCAGGCTAAAGATCCATAAGAGTCCCGGCCCTGACATGGTGCATCCTAGAGTGCTAAGAGAGTTGTGCAACGAGCTTGTAGAGCCCCTGAAGATCCTGTTTTGTAAATGCCTGGATGAACAAATGGTCCCCAGTGAATGGAAAGTGGCTTATGTGAGTCCTATCTTCAAGAAGGGCGATCGTCACTCCACAAACAACTATAGACCGGTGAGCCTGACCAGCATAATATGTAAAGTACTTGAGAGTATTATCAGAGATGCCGCAATGGAACATCTAATACGAAACAACCTTGTAAAAGATTGCCAACACGGTTTTATGAAGGGGCGCTCTTGCTTGACACAATTGCTCAAGGTATTGGATATTTGTACCCATATTCTGGAACGGGGTGGTAATATCGACAATATTTACCTAGATTTTGCCAAGGCTTTCGACAGTGTACCCCACGAAAGGCTGAAAATCAAACTGGAAGGGTACGGAATTCAGGGAAATGTCCTAGCGTGGATAGAAGACTTTCTACATGACCGCAAGCAGTGTGTGGTGATTAATGGCACGAAATCGTCATCTGTACCTGTAACAAGTGGGGTACCACAGGGCAGTGTATTGGGCCCACTGTTGTTTGTTTCATAAATGACATGCCTGACGTCGTACACTCCTCCATATAAATGTTTGCCGATGACGCCAAGTTATTTCGGGAAATTAAGAACCAAGCGGACTGTGAAGAGCTGCAGAAGGACCTCTGTGGGCTCCAGGAATGGTCGAAGAAATGGCTGCTGAGATTCAATGTCACGAAGTGTAAGAGGATGCACCTGGGGCGTACCAACGGTAAGGAGGCGTATCATATGTCCCAACGGGATGAAGAAACCGCACTAGTTGAGACTGTGTGTGAGAAGGACCTAGGTGTGTATGTTGACAATGAGCTGAAGTTCTCGGGCCATTGTGAGAAGAAGGTAAATCAGGCAAATAAAATTATTGGGTCTTATAAGAAGGTCGTTCAGATATCTAGACGGTCCGTTCCTCGTAACGATCTTCAAGAGTGAAGTGCTTCCCCATCTGGAGTACTTTCACCCCGTCTGGTCCCCGAGATATGCTAGGGACTGTCAGTTGGTTGAAAATGTTCAAAGGAGGGCCACCAGACTGGTGCCTGCACTTCGGCACCTCAGCTACCCTGAGAGATTGGAGCGCCTGAACTTGCCTAGCTTATACTACAGACGGGCAAGGGGTGACCTAATTGAGGTGTATAAGCATCTCAGGGGGCACTACTCAGTCGGGTGTCCTTACTTGGAGCTGGCGGACGCTCGCCCCACAAGGGGTCACAGCTCAAGATTGAAGAAGCTGCAAGTCCAGAAAACCGTGAGCGCAAACTTTTTCGGAGTGAGGGTTGTAAACTCTTGGAACAATCTACCAGAAAGTGTTGTGACGGCACGGAGTGTGAGCTCTTTCAAGACAAGACTTGACCAACACTGGAGCGGGTTCAGGTACATTTAGGAGCCGGTGCATGCCCAGTACTTGCCAACAGTGCGTAATTGAGACGTGGCCGATCGGCCAAGCGGTTAACGAGCCGATCTTTTGGTGAAGAGGATAAAAGAAAAGGAAAAGTAATCAGAGACGTGACAGATCGCCCAAGCGGCTAACGAGCCGATCAGTGGTGAAGAGGATAAAGTAAGTAAAGTAAAAGTAGTAACCCCCCATTCTCGGAAGCTGCAGCATTTGCCCAGTACTTGTAAACAGTACGTAACAGACGTGACCGATCGCCCAAGCGGCTAACGAGCCGATTAGTGGCGAAGAGGATAAAACTAAGTAAAAGAAGAAGACAGTAAGGTGATTTTGAGGTGGTAGACGTATAGAACTATTCTACCAGCTCAAGACTATTAAGAACAATGGGGGGATCTTATACAGGCCACTCACTCCCCATTTTCCCACGTCGTGGGCTTGTGGGGTACGGGTTATTGGTTCGCACTCAGGATGGGATGGAGAAAGGAAACTCACAATGTGCTCTCTGTATACATATTGTATTAGATGTACAATGCAGCTTGGTGCTGGGACGGCAGCATGGTTACAAGCGTGATGTAGAGAGAGCTGGTTGGTGAGGGTGATCGGAGGGGGACCAGCTTGTGGGTCGCCATGCTCGCCGGCGGGAGCGAGGGCCGCCAGGCAGGAGTGGAGTAGGAGGTGTTGCTTGCTGCGGCTGTAGCTAGAAGAAGGCTAGGTCGATGATGATGATGATAATGAAGTAAAGTGGCAAATGACTTTGCACTGGGAAAGGAGAGGAGAGAGAAGTAAAGCATAGAAACGGGAAGAAAAGTGGGAGGGGTAGATAGCAGGTGGGCTGTCCACCTAGCGGAGACGAGTTAAGGCTAGGTCACCACGAGGTCAGGTCTTATATAGCGGAGGTAGGCGTGGCTTAATAGTTGACCTCCGTCATGTAAGGCGGCGCTGGTTGACCTAGACCACGAGACATACACTGGGGAATTCGCGGGGTCGGCTACTCAGCGACAAACAGCGTTTGTAGGGGAGGAATCCACTTCAGGCTCCTTTAATTTGGGTGGCCATTATGTAAATAACTTACTATAGATACAATTATAATCAATACAATGCCTACATTATGGAGGGTGCTTATTATTATTATAGACTCACTTTAAGTTGTGCTTGACACGTGAATATTTATATAAAGATGAAAAGTGTTCCTAATATAAATTTCCAGGTTCTCTACTGTAAGAAACGTCAATCATTTCTTGTTCGAAGTTTGTCTGCCCTTCGCCAATTTCACAGGCTCTATCAATCTCTTTATTCCAAGTTTGTGTAGATCTAAACGAGCTTTGGCGTTTTTGTAAGCGCGGACGTTTAATATCAACTTTGTAAAACTTTCCTTAGCGCGAGTTGGAGAATTCGAGAATTGTAAAGGCTCTATTAAGTATATATGTATATATATATATATATATATATATATATATATATATATATATATATATATATATATATATATATATATATATATATATATATATATATATATATATATATATATATATATATATATATATATATATATATATATATATATATATATATATGTATATATATATATATATATATAATGTGTGTTTGTAATTACTGAGGAATATTACATGCCGGACCATTGGGAGGAAGCAAATCAAATAACTAAGCTATATAGTAGGTCTTATAAGAAGATTGTTCACATACATACACTATACACTGTGTAGTGTACCATGCTATTGTACTATTCCAGATGATACTAAATGTTACATAATACTTCCTTGAGATAAATGTATAGTATATATCAGGTGCCTCAAAAAGAGCTCAGGTTCTCAACTGGCTCAGCCATGTTAATATTGTTATTAAACTTATTATTATCCACTCTGTATCTGTATTTTTCTGGCTAAATAAACTGTTTCAATTCAAACTGTTTCAATTCAAACTATTTCAGTTCAATTCAGTAAATAGTTCATCTTCAATTCTCTTCATCGCCACTGAGTAGCCGCTTGGGCGGTCAGTCACATCTCTGTTACGGACTGTTGGCAAATACTGGGCATATACTGAATCCAGAATGGTGCCAGTGTTAAAACTTGACCAATCCTGGTGCAGGTACAGATTACAGATCGCTCTGAAGCCAATGCATTCGTCCAGTACAGTGTAACATGCCAACAGTGCGTAACAGACGCGACCCGGACTATTCCTTGGACGTGACCGAACGCCCAAGCTGCTAACAGGGCTATTAGTGGCGAGGAGGGTAAACTAATTACAGACTGAATGTGAGAAAGACCTGGGTGTGTATGTTGACAATGAGCTGAAGTTCTCGGGCCATTGCGAGAAGAAGGTAAATCAAGCAAATAAATTATTGGGTCTTATAAGAAGGTCGTTTAGATATCTAGACGGTCCGTCCCTCGTAACGATCTTCAAGAGTGAAGTACTTCCCCATCTGGAGTACTGTCTGGTCCCCGAGATATGCTAGGGACTGTCAGTTGGTTGAAAATGTTCAAAGGAGGGCCACCAGACTGGTGCCTGCACTTCAGTACCTCAGCTACCCTGAGAGATTGAAGCGCCTGAACTTGCCTAGCTTATACTACAGACGGGCAAGGGGTGACCTAATTGAGGTGTATAAGCATCTCAAGGGGCACTACTCAGTCGAGTATCCTTACTTGGAGCTGGCGGACGCTCGCCCTACAAGGGGTCGCAGCTCAAGATTGAAGAAGCTGCAAGTCCAGGAAACTATGAGGGCAAACTTTTTCGGACTGAAGGTTGTTAACTCTTGGAACAAACTACCAGAAAGTGTTGTGACGGCACCGAGTGTGAGCTCTTTCAAGACAAGACTTGACCAACACTGGAGCAGGTTCAGGTACATTTAGGAGCCGGTCCATGCCCAGTACTTGCCAACAGTGCGTAACAGAGACGTGACCGATCGGCCAAGCGGTTAACGAGCCGATCAGTGGTTAAAAGGATAAAAGTAAATTAGTAGGTCAATGTGCGTGGCTAACTGGCTAAAGGCGTAACTTTCATGATCATGTATTTTTTTAATCTCATTTTCGCCACTTATCAGATTACTGCCATTGCTTGTTAATTTAACAATACACTGAAAACACTCGACTCTAGTCGCACTTCCGTTTTCATCGTAAATAAAAAAAGTTATGAGTTATTATAATTGTCACGTGATTTACTAATACTCACTGCTGTGTGAGTTGCAATATAACAGAATTGTTTATAAATGTTATACAACAGTGAATGTTAGCGGAAGCTTTACTATTCTATATTCATGAGGTAATATCTATTGTCTCCATATGAAGCTCAGTACAAAGTGAGGAAGTATAAACCCCACCAATGAACCACTAATACTCATTCTAAACCGTATACTGAGGAAATAACGGTGTCTTACGTCAGAGTATTAAACCTATAATTTTCTGACACTGTATGGGCATTTGTTAGATAAGGTATTTTTCCTTAATATATGAAAACTGCCCGTCCCTAGCAAGGTTTGGGCCTGGGGTGCAGAGGTTGGAGGCCGTGATGGAGTCAGCGGTATCCGGCTCGTGGTAGCAGAACGCCTGGCACAGCTGGCATCGGCATCAAGGCTCACAGTCTGTCACGTTGCCACAATAAAAACCGCAATTGAACTTTTTTTTACATTAGATAAAAATGTTTCGGCGAAAGTTGACGGCGCTAGATTACATGACCCCAGAGAACTTTAATGCTAATGGTAAGCAGACGAGATTCAGGTGAGGTTAGACATGCATGTTACTGTTTTGTCCACTGTCTTGACTGCCTCCTCCCATATATGTATTATACACGTAATATAGGCAATGTATTTATTTCCATCATGTTAGCACATGTACCATAGCAGATCTTGATGTTAGAAAGAAGTGGGTGTAAATATTTTTAGTGATTGGGCGAAAGTGATAATGGTTTGTTTCTCTAGATTGTCTCTTAAGACGTTTTTTTTATAATATATTAAATATAAATACTGTACAGTGGGGAGGCTAGGATATGATTGTACATTTAATTTAAGATAGTTATTTACTACTATGCAGCCGTTGATTTTTCATAAAAAAAAAGAATTTCAAATGCCGCAATTTCAGTTTTATAGTTGACACTGTCTTAGTTATGGCAAATATGTTAAAAGGTCTTTATTTAAAAGTTCAAGTTAATTAACGTAACCTAACCGTACCTAACTTAACCTTAATCTAACCTTACCTTAATCTAACCTAACCTACCTATTAACCTAACCTTAAACTGATCTAACCTAACCAAACCTAAACTAACCTAACCTAACCAAACCTAAACTAACCTAAACCAGACTTAACCTTAACTTAGCCTTAACCTAACCTTAAACTAACCTTAAACTAACCTAACCTAGCATGACTTAACACCTGCTGTGGGCGAACTTACTGTTACTGAGACGGGGGAAAGCGAGTGTAAAGTCTTTTATATTAGCCTAATTTAATTTTTAAATGGCAAGTGGGCCATGACTGCCTTTGGTACTTTAGTAAATGAAAACAAGAAATCAAAGAACCTTGTATGATTTTATCATGAATGAACCAGTTCATGACATGGCACTTGCTTCAGCAATTTTTCCGGCATTTGTTCCGATTGGTTGAGGCTGTTGATATCATTCCATTATTGTATTTTGACAGATGATTGACTGCTATTTTGCTATTTCCTGGTTGAATCTGGCTATTAGTTCAGCCCACCTTAAACAAAATGACCCCTAACCTAAGTCAACCTAACCATATTTCTGGAATCTCTTTTATGAAGTCATAAAATGAGATACAGTAATTCAAACTTTTCCATAGTGCCTGTACATTTCATGTGTACATTTCATGTCCTGGAAGGATTTAAAAGAAGACGCAGAATATAGGTACGGCAGCCGTATGCAACACGCTGGTGTTTATTGGTATGGCAGCCTATTGAGCATTTGTGTTGGGCTGACTATACATTTATAGTTACAAAGATGGCCTTCTTTCTAACTAATCTAACCTAATCATACCATTAACAACACAGTCAGTACCTATAGCCAGTGTGTCAAAAGAATCATATGCAGTACTTGCTGAACGTCCGCATCCACAGCTTCCATGATTGCAAGTGACTGAATTCAGTGCAATGACCTTATCAGCATCATCAGCCTCAACCAATTTGAACAAATGCCAGACAAATATTGGAAGTGATTAAAGCTTCATGATTAGACAAATAACTAATGTCTAATGATAAATTCTTGGTGATTATCTACTTAGATCAGATGTAGATCAGTGGCATTCTTATTTTAATATGCTAGAAGCATGGCAGCCACAGCATACTTACCATAGCACAAACAAAAATCAGTGCTACTTTAGTTTGCGGTCTACTGAGCTGGAGTTGTGTCTACTGGAATATTTACAATGTAGCATCCATTAACCCAACCTAGGTTAGGTTTGGTTAAGATAGGTTAGGTTAAGATAGCTTAGGTTAAGATAGCTTAGGTTAAGATAGCTTAGGTTAAGGTAGGTTAGGTTAAGGTAGGTTAGGTTAAGATAGGTTGGATTAAGATAGGTTAGGATATATAAGATAAAGTTAGGTTTGGTTGGGTGAAAATATCCCGGTAGACCAACTCCAGTTCACCTCCAGGCCCTGATGTGGGTCAATGATCTGTGCCCTGGTGGGCTAATCCTGTAAAAAAAAAAAAATGCATTCTATAGTAGCATCCAAAAATCAAAGTAATTTTTTTATTCCACAAGATTTGTCCTCGATGCATTACAGTACTGTAATATTAATGTTCTATTTAAAGCCCCCCTCCCCAAAAAAAAACCAAACTGTTCCTAAATCTGCAGACATCCTAGACATTTATATTTTAAAAATACTACCAGTCAAATCTGTTTGGCACAATAATAATTAATATGGAGTGCTTGCTTTGCCGAATACCCTTAACCCCTTTTGCTAGCTGCTGTGCAATCCAAATCTCGCCTGTAGACGCTATCTGCGTCATTCAACATGCATACATTTTTCATTCAATTTATTTTTCATTTACTGGTAAAATTATGCAAATTTGTTCTTTTTTTTATCGAGTTAGAAATATAAATTGTTGGAATAAGTAATAAAAGGACAAAAATAGTTGCATAAATAATATGGGATGACTGCAAGTGTGTGAAAAGATAATATCTTAAACGCCAAACCCTCCCCTGTGACCGTGAGTGGTCTGGCCAGTGGGCTCGTGACACTCTTCTTACCTGCGGTGACCACTGTTTCTCTGTGGATGTCAGTCACGCTAGAATAACCCGTTATAGTACATCCTTCTTTCCTCACACAGCCAAACTGTGGAATGATCTGCCTTCTTCTGTGTTTCCATACTCAGACAATGTCTCGCTTCAAATACGTAGGTGGTTTTCCGGCATCTTCGTGGTGTAGATTAAGATAATCTTTTTCTTTTCTATTTTTAATTACTTTTTACTCATATTGTTTTGCCCCTTAGGCCCCTCTGTGGGTCAGTGACCTGTGCCCAGGTGGGCTACTCCCCGTAAAAAAAAGAAAGAATACAGTACAGTTAACCCTCACTTTATGCGGTCCCGCATTCCGCATTTCCACGTTTACGCGGTGCCTTGCCAGAACCTCACGTGCTCACATTACGCGGTACGTGAACCCCATTACGCGGAGAGTGTCCGGCGCGACGCTATTTTTAGATTCGCCCCACCCGCCACCCGCCCGCCTGCCTGCCTGCCTCTCCCTCCTCCTCCCTCCGCTTGGGCAAGCGGCGCGGTAAGGTTGCGCAGTGTGTGTCTTTGTTGCGTTATCACTGACGTCATATGACGTATCAGACCTGTGATTGGCCATGCATCCCTACCCCCCTCTGCTGCTAGCTGTAATTGGCTTAAAGTATTATGACGTGTCCACCCGGGGGAGGGAGGGAGGGAGGAAAGACGACGCTTGACCTAGCCGCGGCAGTTTCATCCCTCAAGGCCACTCCGTGTAAACGCGCATCCATTGTTCCGTAAAATGGCTTCCGCCGGACCACCACCCCCAGAGAGAAACCTTTCCTTACCTGGACCCAGCGGCACTAAACCAAAGAAGACACGACGTTCCTTAAGCTACGAGGTGAAGTATAGCATCATCCAAGAGTTGGAGAAAGGAACAAGGCAGGTTGATTTGGCGCGCCAGCATGGCGTGAACGAATCTACGATCCGGACTATAAAGAAGGATTCAGCCAAGATAAAGGAGCACATGAAGATCACAAAGTCTACAGGTGCTTCTATGATCAAGTATTTTCACAACCAGGTGCTTCTCAAGACAGAAAAATTACTTGTGAGGTACTTGGTGCGTCAGGCGCGACGGAACATGGCGGTCGACACGCGCTCTGTTAAGGACTACGCACGTGAACTGTACATGGCAGTGGCACGAAAGATGGGAACTTCAGAGCCCAAAACCTTTAATGCTTCCTCTGGGTGGTTACAGAGGTTTAAGATCCGGAACAAGATCACCAATATAAACATTGGTGGTGAAGAAGTGAGTGCTGATCGTGCTGCGGCTCGGGAATTTCCTCCGTTTTTACATGAGATTATGGAGGAAGGACAGTACAGTGACGACCAGGTGTTTAACATGGACGAATCTGGTCTTTTCTGGAAAAAGCTACCTTCCAAGTCCTTCGTTGTGAAGAATGCCAGCAGGATTCGGGGCCGGAAAATGCAGAAGGAACGCATCACCGTCCTGTTTACCACCAATGCCTATGGTACCTGTAAGCTCAAGTTATCGGTGATCCACACAGCCCGCAAGCCGCACGCCTACAAGAGCATGGACATGACCAAGCTAAATGTCCACTGGCTGACCGCACGTAAGGCATGGATGTTCTCTACACTGTCCCTCTCCTGGTTTGATGACTGTTTTGTTCCCGATGTAAAAAAATTCTGTGAGCGACAGAATGTGCCATTTAATATTTTGTTGCTGCTGGACAACGCACCAGGACACTCGCCCCTACTGTTAGATCGTCACCCCAACGTAAAAGTGGTCTTCCTTCCTCCCAACACTACGTCTTTAATCCAGCCCATGGACCAGGAGTTGATTTGCAATGTGAAAGCTGCATTCTCAACAAAAAAATTCCAGCTCCTGAACGACTACACCAACACCAGGGAAGAGTTGCGTAACCTGAGTGACACCACCACCGATAGCAAGAGCGAAGAAGATGAGGATCAACAGTTAGAACAGCAAAAAATACTCTTCAAACAATTCTGGAGAGTATTTAACATCAAGAAAGCTGTGGACTTCTTGGTGGAGTCATGGGATCAGCTGTCTATTGCTACAATTCGTCACGCATGGAGACATGTGTTGCATGGAATACCAGGTGAGAGGAGTCAATCTGTGACTGGTGAGGTTCAGAATGTTGCAGTAGCAGTGGACCTTGCCAGAGAAGCTGCGCAGACTGTTACAGTTCCAGGCTTCTCCGAGACCACCAACGACGACATCCTGGAGGTGATCAGAAATCCTGAAGTGACTGCCGACGAGATGTTGGAAGAAGAACACGTCAGTGAAGAGGAGGAAGAAGGTGCGGCAGTCTCCGAAGAACACAATTTAAGTCATAGTGATATTAAGGGTGCCATGGAGTGTGCAGAGAAGATGAAGTCCTTCCTTTCCCGCGACAATGACGATGACCGCTATGAAGTCTTCCATACCCGGCTGGTGCAGGCTATGGAGCCGTACATCAAGGTGTATCACGACAACATCAACGCCAGCCGTCAGCAAAGCATAACAGATTTCTTCG